GTGGCGGCGCGTGTGTGCGCGAGGAGCGGGGCGGCGGCGCGGGGAGGCTCGCCGGGGCCCGAGGGCCACTTCCCGGGCCACCTGGTGGACGTCAGCGGCGCCGGGACGCTGTCCCACAGCTACCAGTATGAGGTGTGTCTGACGGGAGAACCCAGGACTGGTGAGTTCAAATTCCTGAAGCCAATGTTCCCCAACCTCTTGGTTCAAGATACTGAGAATGAAATTAAGGAAAACTCCAATTGCAGGAACAGTTTTCTATTTACTTAAGTACTGTATTTTGTCAATTGAATTTCTCCTTAATTTTGGTAATTGTTTTGGAAAGACTCCTTTTGAATAGTCTTTCTTTTAAGAAATTGTATTGTTGGTAATGTATGTCTATTGCAAAACCAAGCCTGTTTCTGATCACACTTAATTTCTTCCTTATAAGTGTTACATTTAGCATTTTTTTAGTTGCACAGGTTAGAGTATTTATTTTCTTCTTATTTGACTTTCTCTTAGCTATAAATCATTCCAACTACAATTTACCTAAATAGTGTCAGAAGAAAAATTTCAACCAACTTCTTGTTTAGTTATTGTAATTTTAATGAAGCATTTTAAAGTTTTTATGTAACCTTGTATTGCTTTATATTGCTTGTCTTTATCATATAACTTCATCTGCAAGACCAGAGTGATTTCTTATAGTCACCTAAGATTTCTTGTTGACCTCCCTTCCAGGCTATGCCCCCTGAATATATAACAGCATGTTTGTTTCTCCAAAATTATATATAAACATGCTTATGTATTGATATACTGTTGTGATCTTCTTCCATGTTCAATGCCATATATGTTAGAGGTTACATCATTTACTTGGTTGTTATAGACCAAGAATATAGTAAGCACTTCATTAATACTAAAATTAAAATTTTACATTATTCTCATAAATAATAACAAAAAATAGGTCCTTATTTAATGTCAGTTAAACATAGGTCCTTATTTAATGTCATTGTTTGGTAATAATCCTTTTAAAAATCTCCAAACTTTAAATCAACTTTAAATTTTTATGAAGTTTCCAAGACTCCAGAGAATATCATATACTCCTTGTTCTTCCTTTTCCTCAGAAATGGGGGTTCAAATGTAGCTTAATGTACATATTTCTCTTGGTTTTCCTGTAGCTTCCCCAATCTTTCAAAGGCAATCAGAGAAAATGTTCCAAATTTTGGTTATCCTATCAACTTTGAGTTTCATATCAAATTGTCACTCAGAGTTATTTTGTAAACATGGAAAGTCATTACCAATAAATAACTTAGTTTTGATGTCAGTTATCTTTTGTTTTGTTCTTTGATTTCGCTTATAAGTATTTTGTGCAAACTCAGTTTTTCAATTATACAAAATTTCATTTATAAAAATAAACATTATTTTGTCCTTTAGAACAATAAGAATAGAAACTAAAAAAGAAATGATCTTATTTATCTAAATTGTAATTGTTGCATGCTGTCTTCATAAAATCAATTACACTGATCTTGTGAGTTCCAATTAAATTTATATGGATATATCTCAGTCTACTTAGTTGAACTTTTGGCACCAGGGAGCAATTGAAAATTTTGCTTTATACATGAGTCTAGCTACACTAAGATTTTTCCTATTAACTTTCAACATTTCTGTGATATAACACACATTCATGTGCGTACACACATTCATGTGCGTGCACACATATAGTCATGACAACATGTAGTTGAAATTTTCTTAAACCTGGATGAAGTTTTTGGTTTTATTTGAATTTTTAAATCAAATTTAATTGAATTGTTTAATTACATTATGTAATCAAATTGTAATTAATGCAACATTTGAAATCTTTCATTTATATTTGCCATCTATTTTCCCCTATTTCTCCATAGTTTGTTTCTTCACTTGAATAATTGAGATATTTGTTAGTTTTCCTTTTTCCTTCAATTCATAGTTATTCTTTTAGTGATTATCCTAGAGACTACAGCAACACCTGTGGCTATACTCATGTAAGACAAGAGATTTTAAGGAAAGATGGATTCATTATTAGAGATAAGAGATGTTTCATAATGATAACATGGTAAATATACCAGAAAAATATTTCAGTTATAAGGTTGAATGTATCCTCATGAAACAATTACAAATTACATAAAGTGAAACTGAGAAAACCTAAATGAGAAACAGACAAATCCACAATCATAATAGGAGACTTAAATCAATCCTGTAGATATCTAACATGAAAAGGACATGTACACCAAGACCTGAACAACAAAATAATTCTATTTTAATAAATTGATATACATAACACACTGAAGAATGTACATCTCTTTATGTGCATATTATCAGAATTATCCACATTCTGCGCTTAAGGCAAGCTTCAATTTTTTTAAAGAGAATTGAAATGACTGAGAGCATGGTCTTATTCACAGTGTAATTGAAATAATATTATAACAAGAAATAATATTATAACAAGAAATCCCCAAATGCTTTAAACTAAATACTATAGTCCTTGTCTCAAAGAAGTAATAAAAATAGAAATGTCCATATATTTTAAACTAGGTAAAAATTAAGAATTTACATCTCAAAACCGGACTTAGATCTTTTCAAGCTTAAAATGCACATGTTAAGAAAGAAAGACTGAAAATCAGTAATCTAAGTTTTCATCTAAAGTTAAAAAAGAACAAGTCAAATGACAATAAGTAACAAACAGTATACACATACATAAATACAATAGATGATAAAAGCACAATAGAGAAAATCCGTAAAGCTGAAAATTAGCTCTTTGTAATGACTAATAAATCTAAAATCTGAGTCAGACTAATCAAAATTAAAAGAAAAGACACACTACCAATATTGGCATGAAAAAGGGATATTACTACCAATCTGAAAGACATTAAAAATAGACAGGGGCTCTCCCTGGTGGCACAACACCACACTTTGTAGCTCTCCAAAGCCACTGCATCACCAGTTCAATCCCCCACCAGGGAGCTGACCCACATGGTGTGGCAGACCTCTCCTGACCCGCCTGCTGCTCCCCTCAACAGTGTATCTCAGTACATCTGCCTGTTCTGCTCCCCACTCTTTCTCTGGTGAATCCTCTCACCTACCACACCTCTGGCTTCTGCCCCAATTCTGTAAGAATAAATAAATAAATCTTTAAAAAAATAAATAAACAGGATATTATGAACAGCTTTATGTCAATAAATTTGACAATATATGTAAAGTGGAGTATATTTATTAAAACAAAATTTATCAAAATTGAAATGAGAATAGAAAACCTAATTAGTTATTTCTATTAAGTGAATTAATTATTAAAAACCTTACCACTCCATTTCACACTGGCTAACACTTCCAAATAATTATGAAAAATTAACACCATTTTTATTCACTCCTCAGAGAATTGAATAGGAACTCTCAATTCATTTCTGTGCTAGCCTAACTTGAATGGGTTATGACATTCACACCTGAATAAGACATTATGAGAAAGAAAAATTACAGACCAATCTCTTTTATAAACATAGTTGGAATGTTTTTAAACAAAATAGCAACAATTTCAGAAATATGTAAGATTCTACAAGCCACACCACCCTAACATTCCTGGTCTTGGAACCTAAGCAGGGTGGGGCCTGATTTACTACTTTGATTGGAGAAACATCATCAGAAGGTTATTTGATAAAATTCAGCATACATTTATGGTAAAATAGCAAACTGAAAATTGAAGGGCAGTTCATAGTGTATTTTAAAATCTATAGTAAACATCATCCTTAATGGTAAATAATTGAAAACTCTCATGGATCAGGAATGAAACAAGAATGCCTGCCTGTACTATTTTATTATAGGTGCTAACAAAGTGAAAAAAAAAAAGGAGGGGATGAGGGATAAGGCTATGAAGAAATAAGAATGTCTTTTTTAAAAGGATGAGACAATTACTAAACAAACACATCACTAAGAATCTATTAGAATGAGTAAGTGAAGTTAGCAATGCCACTGAATATAAGGTCAACAGTACAAAATAAATTGTATTTCTTTATAGCAACAAAATCTATGTTTACTATAAAACTAAAATAGACAGAATATTAAACATGTTGAATATAATTTGTAATAGTTTCAAAAATATCAGGTATCTAGTAACAACAGAGTATGCACAAGACTTTTACATAGAAAAGTAGAAAATATTGTTGGGAAAAGTTGTATATATCTAAATAAATAGAGGTTATGTAATATTAACTAATTTGGAGACTCAGTGTTGGGAAATGTCAATTCTCCCCAGTCACTCAATAGATGCAATGGAATGAAAAACAAAATTTTATCAGATTTCTTTGTGAAAACTGACAAACTGAACTTAAAATTTACATGGAAGGGCAGAAGGACAACAACAACCAACACACTTTGAAGCAAAAGAACAAAACTGAAGGACTTACCTATCATATACTAAAACCTGTTATAAAATTAAAATAATAAAGTCAATATCATTTTGTGGATAAAGAGAAAATGAAAAAAGTCTTGAACAGAACTATGGTCACTTGAGTGACACTCCAGAGGCAATGGGGAATGGATCATCTTTCATAGATGGTGCAGTAATTTAGAGATTTATATGAATAAAATTATTTTGACCCAAACTTAACTCATATGAAAAAGATAATTCAGAAAGATTATATCTTTAAGTGTGAAAAGTAAAATAAAATTTCAAAGTATACTATACAGGAATATTTTCATGACCATGGGGGTATGAAAAGATTTAGACAGAGCACAGATAATTCTAACCATGAATAAAAATATTGAAAAATTAGACTAAATTAAGGTCAAGTTTTGTTCACCAAACATACTACATGAGATTTCAGGTGCAAGCAATTGAGGAGAAGATATGTGTAATTGTACATCTGCAAAGAGACTTATATTTATAAAGCATAAGGAACTTCAAAAGACCAATAAGAGACAAGGCCCTAAATAGAATAATGGACAAAATATTTGATAAGCAATTCACAAGAATGTATCCCAATGACCAATTAACATGTGGAAATAAGCTCTATTAAATTATTCATGGAAGTATCAGTTAAAGTTATATAATACAATATCATGACACTCACCAAAACAGTTAAAAGTGAAAGATAGTATTAAATGTTGACAAAGCTATGGAGCAACTGGAACTCTCACTCTTTGCTGTTTTTATAAAAACCACATTTTAGCAATATCTACTAAAACTAAAAATATGTGCACATCTTAACACACAACAATATAACTCCTAGGAATATAGTCAACATGAATGAACAGACAACATAAGACAATTGCAAGAATGTGGGTAGCAGCAGCACTCAAAATAGCTCCAATGGTAAATCTCAATCATTGTCCATCTACTGGAGAATGGGTAAACAAATTGTAGTATCACCATGTAATAGAATAATAAAAAGCAGTGAGAATGAAATAAGTTAGAACAGTACGCAGTAGATGAATTTTACAAATGTAAAGTGAAACAGACATTACATTTTCTGATTTATATTTCAAAAGTAAGTGATTTTTTAAAAACTTGTAACACATGTACTTCTTGATACAAACAAGTAAATTCACAAGAGTTTCTTCCTGTACTTTTATGAGGACAACTAACAGAGCATTTTAGTTTCTTCTAAAAGTATTTTTCCACTGAAAATTAACTTAGCAAATATTTATTTAGAACTTCAAATAACTAAGAACTGAGAGTACAACTGGATTGACGACTTTTGTGACTTAAAATGATATTGATGACAACAGTGCTTTGGAATTAAATGGTAAACACTACATGCAATAGTAAATGTGGACACCTGGTGGCGCTGCAGGCTAGGCGTATGAATGACGGCGCAGTGGATACCGCGGTCGCCATTAAGCTGGGAATCAGAACTCTGAATGCGTCCCCAAAGTAGGACGTGTTTTAGGTAAGATCCAGGAGCAAAAATATATTCAGAGAGGGCATTGTTCTAGTGTAAATCAGTCAGAAAGATTTAAGTCGAGGTTATTTGAAGAATAGTCTGGATTAACAGCGCACTGAATTGAAGAAACTGCACCTTCTTGGACCGGACCTAAACAATGGAGACTGCGCTTGCAAAAAAGCCACGGAAAAGGCAAGTTATCTTTCTTGCTATATTATTGCTTTTGTGGGAGGCTGGTTCTGAAACAATTAGATACTCCATGCCAGAAGAAACAGAAAGTGGCTCCATTGTGGCCAACCTGGCAAAAGACCTTGGGCTTAGGGTGAGGGAACTGGCCACTCGGGGCGCGCGAATCCATTACAAAGGAAACAAGCAGTTCTTTCAGCTCGATACAAAGACCGGGAATTTGCTTCTGTTTGAAAAATTAGACAGGGAGGTGTTGTGTGGGGCGTCAGATCCCTGCATATTGCATTTCCAACTGTTACTGGAAAACCCGGTGCAGATTTTTCAAGCTGATCTGCAGCTGACAGACATAAATGACCATTCCCCACAATTCTTAGAGCGTGAAATGATCCTAAAAATCCCAGAAAACGTCCTGCCAGGGACTGTGTTTCCTTTGAAAATAGCTCAGGACTTTGACACAGGTAACAACACTGTTCAGAACTACACAATTAGCTCCAACTCCCATTTTCATGTTGTCACTCATAACCGCGGAGATGGCAGAAAGTACCCAGAGTTGGTTCTGGACAAAGCGCTGGATCGGGAGGAGCAGCCGCAATTCAGTTTTATCCTCACGGCCCAGGATGGTGGGGCTCCGCCCAGGTCTGGGACTACAGCAGTCCTCATTGAGGTCCTGGACATCAATGATAACGCCCCTGAATTTTTACAGTCGCTCTATGAGGCACAAGTCCCTGAGAATAGCCCTCTAAATTCCTTAGTTGTCGCCGTCTCTGCACGTGATTTAGATACAGGAGCCTATGGGAATGTAGTCTATACACTGTCACAAGGCGATGAAGTTACAAGACCATTTGTAATAGACGAGAAAACAGGAGAAATTCGTCTGAAGAGGGCACTAGATTTTGAGGCAACTCGTTATTACAATGTGGAAATTGCAGCCACAGATGGTGGGGGCCTTTCAGGAAAATGCTCTGTAGCAATAGAGGTGTTGGATGTGAATGACAACGCCCCTGAACTGACCATGTCCACGCTCTCCAGTTCCACACCAGAAAATTCCCCAGAGACTGTAGTTGCCGTTTTCAGTGTTTCTGATCCTGATTCCGGGGACAATGGTAGGATGGTTTGTTCCATTCAGAACGATCTCCCCTTTCTCCTGAAACCCACGTTCAAGAACTTTTACATGCTGGTGACAGAGAGACCACTGGACCGAGAGCTGAGATCCGAGTACAACATCACGATCACCGTCTCGGACATGGGCACCCCCAGGCTGCAGACCCAGCACAACATCACCGTGCTGGTGTCCGACGTCAACGACAACGCCCCCGCCTTCAGCCAAAGCGCCTACACGCTGCTGGTGCGCGAGAACAACAGCCCCGCCCTGCACATCGGCAGCGTCAGCGCCACCGACGCCGACGCGGGCACCAACGCCCAGCTCACCTCCTCGCTGCTGCCCGCCCCGGGCCCCGCCGGCCGCGCGCTGCCCGCGCCCGCCGCGCTCGTGTCCATCAACGCCGACAACGGCCAGCTGTTCGCGCTGCGCTCGCTCGACTTCGAGGCGCTGCGGGCCTTCGAGTTCCTGGTGGGCGCCACCGACCGAGGCGCGCCCGCGCTGAGCGGCCAGGCGCGGGTGCGCGTCGTGGTGCTGGACGACAACGACAACGCGCCCTTCGTGCTGTACCCGCTGCAGAACGCGTCGGCGCCCTGCACCGAGCTGGTGCCCCGCGCGGCCGACGCGGGCTACCTGGTCACCAAGGTGGTGGCGGTGGACGGCGACTCGGGCCAGAACGCCTGGCTGTCGTTCCAGCTGCTCAGGGCCACGGAGCCCGGGCTGTTCGGCGTGTGGGCGCACAACGGCGAGGTGCGCACCGCCCGGCCGCTGGGCGAGCGCGACGCGCCCAGGCACCGGCTGGTCGTGCTGGTCCGCGACAATGGCGAGCCGCCGCTGTCGGCCAGCGTCACGCTGCACGTGCTGCTGGTGGACGGCTTCTCGCAGCCCTACCTGCCGCTGCCCGACGCGGCGGCGCCCGACGCGCAGGCCGACCGGCTCACCGTCTACCTGGTGGTGGCGCTGGCCGCCGTGTCGTCGCTCTTCCTCCTGTCTGCGCTGGCCTTCGTGGCGGCGCGTGTGTGCGCGAGGAGCGGGACGGCGGCGCGGGGAGGCTCGCCGGGGCCCGAGGGCCACTTCCCGGGCCACCTGGTGGACGTCAGCGGCGCCGGGACGCTGTCCCACAGCTACCAGTATGAGGTGTGCCTGACGGGGGACGCTGGGACAAATGAGTTCAAATTCTTGAAACCTATTCTACCTAATCTTCCACCCTCTGGTGCTGTTGTGGAAGAAATCGAGGGGAAAGCCACTTTTCGGAATAGCTTTGGGTTTAGTTAGGAATCTAATCATGATGCTATGCATTTAGTTACTTATCTCTGACTTATCCGGATCCCAAGATTGGGAGCATTGTGGCGGAAAAAGTCTACCTTCAAGCATAGCCTTGATTTCCCTTTTGCAGTGAATTTCCTCTTTATCTTGGCTAATTTTGGAAAACTCAATTTTTCAGCGTTGCATTTGTCCACATAATACGACTATACTCAGTTCATGCATGCTGTTGAATTTCCTAAGTTGTTTACTCCTCTTGTTATTTGTTGAGATTGACTCTTAATAAAAATCAGCTATTGTTATTCTCTGTATTCTTTAGCTGTTTCATCACGTTTGAACTTCAATGCTAAATATCTAAACTTTTCTTCATTTTGTTTAGAAAAGAATACACATCTATGGTAAACAATTTTGTGGGCCACAAAACACAATGAAAAGATTATCTTTTCTCTACACTTTTGTGATAGTTGTCATCAGCACTGACAAACATCTTTTAAACATTGAGTAATACACACAAACATATAAGTGAAGAATTATTGATGTTCAGTTCAATGTTTTCAGAAACTGTATATACTTGGCACCAGCATTTTGAAGAATAAATGAAGCATAATTATCATTCCAGGAGCTACTCACATTATCTCCTAAAGTCACTACTATCCCTAGTTAACAAAGAGCCTGAGTTTCAAAGTTTAGCTTTGCCTTTTAAAAATTTATACAAATGGGATAATAGAGTATAAAATGTTTTGATCTTTTGCTTACTGTTATGTTCATGACATTTATTCATGATACAATTTTTAATTCTTTTTGTTGCTCTATGGTAGCCCACTATATGAGTATTTCACAGTTTATTTCCCATCCTGTTGTGGATGGATATTTGGGTTAAGTCAGAGTTTAGTTGTTTAAATAATACTCTATGAACATTTTTGTACATGTCTTTTGGCAAATGTGTGTATACACTTCTTTCTGTTGGGTATATAGTTAAGGGTGAAATGCTGCTCAGTTAGTAAATACATTTTCACTTTTAGTTGATAGTTCCAAATAGTTTTACAAAGTGGCTGTATTAATTTACACTACTATCAGTAGTATCTGGATGTATTAGTTCCTCCCCATAGATACAAACATCTACATATATGTCATTTTACCTTGCTGAAAAACTGTTTTAAACCTTATATTTTCTAGTCCTTATTTAATATATACTTATATTAAGGCATATGCTTGCAATTTTTTGTAAACCCCGAACAATTTTCTGCTATTATTGCTTAGTACCAAGCATACCCATCCTACAAAAATAGCTACCTCACTATACTGTTATGTTTCTGTTCAAACCGACATGTCCATCAATTGTTCCATTAATAGCAGATTTCTCAATTATTTTGTGTGTGGCAGAAAAGAATTCTTCTTTTTTCTGTTGTTTTAACATCTACAGACATTTCTAAAACGAATTTTGATTTTTACATAATCATAGATGATTGCACTTTCTACTCTAGAATTATAGGGAAGAATTAATTCCTTCTTTTGTCTGGAGATATATTTTAGAGCCTGAAATTTAATATTAAAAGTCAATCTTGGGCCCTCCCTGGTGGCACAGCGGGTTAAAGCACAGCACAAAGAAGCTTAAGCCACTTCTGCATGAGTTGGATCCCTGCCTGCCCGGGAGGAGATCCACATGGCGAGGCAGAACCCTCCTGACCCACCCGCTGCTCCCCTCAGCTGTGTGCTTTGTCGATCTGCCTGTTCTGTACCCCACTCTGTCTCTGGTGAATCCTCTCACCCTCCGCATCTCTGGCCTGTACCCCAGTTCTGTACAAATAAATAAATAAATCTTTTTAAAAAGTCAATCTTAATAACCATGTAGATTATGAATACCCTGCAGTCAGATATCACTGGGAACAAACACACTATCTCAAAATGAAGTTGGTCATCATTGCTATATGATTTTGGGGTAGGGTTCAAGGAACTAGGGGCTAGCTCTGGAATGGTTGCTTTTAAAGAGTGGGGGTAACTATAATTGAGTATCTTAAAGGATTTTACTACAGAGGTGGGAAGTAAACTGGTTAAGAATGCTTGGTTTTATTGTACTATTGTCTTTTTTATTTTTTATTATTTTTTTATAATGCACTGTTGTCTTTTAAACAGCATTCATTGGTAATAGTCAGGACAGGGGACTTTGACTTGATTTTTGTTTGTTAGTTTTGTCTCTGCTCAGAAATCATCTTATTTTTGTCTTGTGTCATCAAGGTCACAATAGTCTTTGGTGATGCTGTTGTTCTGTGAAATTGTTTGTTTAACAGGAGAATATTATGGCTTACTTGTGTCATATCAGTTTCTAGTTGAAAGAAGCAATTTTTCTCTTCCCCAAAATATGTTCTGTTGTACTATAAAGTTCTTGGAAGAAAACATCAGAGAAAAGCTTCATGATATTAATTTGGCAATGACTTCTTTGATATGACAGCAAAAGCACAAGCAACAAATGTAAAATCAGATAAATGAAACTACATCAAATTTAAAAAGTTGGGGGCAACATTTTTTTACAGAGTTAAACCTGTAAAACAGAAGAAGCCTGTGGAACAGAAGAAAATATTTCAAATGCGCTATATATAATTATTAGTTAATGTGCAGAAAATATAAAAAATCAAACAACTCAAAAAATTAAGAAATTGATTTAAAAGATCAACAAAGGGACTGGAGACATTTCCCCAAAGACAACATACAAATGATCAACAGATGAAAATGTACTCAACACTACTAATCATCTGAAAAATGAAAATAACCATATTTGCACTTCACATTATGATGACTTCTATCAAAAAGCAGAAAATAACAGGTGTTGTTGAGGATATGAAGAAACTGGCACTTTTGTGCAATGTTAGTGGGACTGTAAAATAGTATAACTGCTATGGAAAACTGTAAGGATTTTCCTAGAAAAATAAAATAGAACTTTTGCATGATCCAGTAATTCCACTTCTGGGCATATCCAATACAATTAAAAGCAAGGTATCCAAGAAGTATTTTCATACTCGAATTCACAGCCTCACTATTCACAACAGGCAAATGGTGGAAGCCACCCACACATCCATCTGTGGGTGAATGGAGAAAATAACTTAGCCTTAGGGAGTATTACTCAGGCTTTGGAAGCAAGGGAAGCCGATCACATGCTAAGTGACTCCTAAGGACATTGGTTAAGTGACATAAGCCAATCACAGGAAGGCAAATACTGCCTGGCTCTACTTATATGAAGATTCTCAAGTGGTCAAATGCATAGAAACAAAGTAGAATGGTGGTTACTAGGGGCTGGGGGAATGAGGACAGGGAGAATAATTTTTTTTTGAAGAGTTTCAGATGTGCAAGATGACAAGCTGTGAATATGAATAGACTTTACTGAACTGTATACCTGAAGATAATTAAGATGCTAAGTTTTATGGGTTTTTTTTATAACAATAATATATTGTTCATTGCAGGCTCATACTACTTAGTGTTACAAACCATATTTTCTTTTCTTTTAATCTCTTGTTGTGTCTTCTGTGCCACCTAAAATAGAATGTTCTAGAATCAAGAGCAACAGATTTACTATTTTAGACATTGTTTAGACTTGACTTCACCATATCTTCCAGTATTTTCAAATCAATAATTCACCCTCTCATATTTCCTACCTGAATCCCTTTCTTCTTGCTTCTATATGGACTAAATCATCTCTTTTTTTCCTAAAGATTTATTGATTTATGCATACAGAACTGGGGTACAGGCTAGGGGTTCAGGGACAGTGAAAGGCTTCACCAGAGACAGAGTGGGGAACAGAACAGGCTGATCAATGAAGTACACTGCTGAGGGGAGCAGCAGGCGGGTCAAGAGTGGTCTGCTGTGCCATGTGGGTCACCTTCAGGGTCAGGGATCCAACTCCCACTGAAGCAGCTGCGCGAGCTTGCAGTGCTGCATCCTAACCCATTGTGCCAACAGGGAGGGCCTAACTCATCTCTTAGTGTAAATAAAACTGTCATCTTGTCTTCATACCTCTCCTAGTTCAGACTACTGTTGATATATCCCTTAGCTTTTTCTTTTTCTTTTTTAATTTCCTCTCTTTGTTACAATATATCTTCAGGTGACTTCCTGAAAGAAGGTGCCCCCAAAATAAAGCTTTCTGTGTCTAGTCTTGTCTAATAATGGACTTAGTTTTCTTTTAAACTTCATCAACATCTTATACATTATACATGCATCATTCAAGATCTTGTATAACATAATAATTCATTTTTATATCTGGGATTATTTCATATTTGCTACTGTTTCCATAATAACTACATTCCCAATTTTTCTCTTTCTGGGACTTGTTTGCTGGATATAAAATATTTTCAATTGTTACTGTATTTTTCTTCTGTTTCTTTTTTATTGTATATCTTTGGTTTTTCTTCCACATCCTTACCTAAAGTGAATCTGTCATTCCATTTTGAGTATTTCAATGAATTTTAATGTTAGTGGTGTATTTAAATCCATAAAAGTTTTCTAGTTATCTGATTATGTCTTTCCCTAGTAACACTTGGAATTTTCAAAGCTCACTTTATTTCCCACATAATCTGTTCCCTGAAGTTTCCATTTCTCTTTTTGTTTTTACTTGTTACTTGTAGTTTTCATATGTTTGGTGAGCCATGATTATGTATTCATAAATTCAAGAAAAATAAGTTAGTAGCCAGTGTGAAGTAGCTGCTGTTTTATGTCTTTCTGTTTCAGGGAAATCTCCAGGTTTCTGAACAGAAATTTTGGTGGAAAAGGTTTATATGAGGCAGTTCAGGGCCAGAATTACAAAATATGAGATTTTTGTGCTTTAGGCACATTATTGAATAGGCAGAACTCTTTCTAGGAAGTGTCTTTTCAAATGAGGGGGAGGAGCTACTAGGGCGCCAAGATCGCCACACTCCACAAAAGTTCCTCTGTTTTCTTTAGAAATAAGTCAGTATTTTTGAGAAGCTATCTAGGAAAAATAGTAATTATAATTAAAAATTAGCTCTTATTTTCCATGCATTTGGTTGTTATCTAAATTCTTTGCACTTAACTCATTTGATATTCAAAATAATGTTATAACTGTTATCCTCACTTTAGAGGTAAACAAACTGGGACATACAGAATTAAAGTAACTTGCCCAAAGTGACCTAGCAAATAAGTGGAACTATCAGAATTTGAATTCAGGCATTCAAATCCAGAGACACCACTTCTTTGCTTTTATTTTTCTATTTTGAAATATATCAAACATTCAAAACAACGTATACATATAATTACAAAAATAACAAAAATCTTCACCCATATATTTATCACCCAA